AAAAAAATTGAAAGATAAAAACTGTATAAAATTTTAAAGTTGAGGGATCCAAAATTTGACATTTAACCTTTCTCAATCGAACTGACGAAAGCAGTGACGTTATTTCTTTCTCCGATAAATAAAAGTTGATTCCCTCCAAATTTCTCAGCTGCAGTCAACTCTCTTCGTTCCACTCGCCGACCTCAGTTGCAGAGAGAAAATGTCGAGCTCTCAGTGCTTCGAAAACCCACCAAGCAAGACCACAACATGTGGAGCAGGATATGTTGAGGAATTCGCTGGCCTCAACACTTACATAACTGGTCCTCCTGATTCCAAGCGCGCCATTCTTCTAATTTCTGACGTTTTTGGTAATGACCCATCTTCTATTTCATCAATATTTCCTATCTATGTGTATTGATTCTTAGTGTTTATTGCTCGAATGTAGTTCTGTTTGGTTGATTTGAATTGGGTTTTTGATTCTGGCTAAGGGTATTCTTTCTTTTCTATACTAGCAAAGATTCTGGATGCCCTTTTGGAAAATGGAGGTTTTACTGACTTGTTTTATTTGAAATATTTTGCAGGTTATGAAGCTCCAAATTTGAGGTATGGCTGGATTCATTTTGGCTCTGATTACTTTGAATTGCTTGGTATAATTATGGGACTAGAAAAAGGAGAAATTGGGTCTTCTGCGTATGATTGGATAGGGTAGAATTAGATGCATCTTTACTTAACTATGGTTCAACAATAAGGCTCTGCTGACAGTGATTATTTAAAATTAAGGGGAAATTGCAATTTAGCTACTTGTAGTTTGAGATAGGTGCACATAAAGACTTGAGGTTTTAAAATGTGTATATAACATACTTGTAGTTTTGGGTCTGTGCAGATAAAAACCCAAGATATCAAAATGTGTACATTAACACCTGAAATCTGCACTTGGTGCAAAAAATCTCTTGAAATTTCTTAAAAACCCCTAACTTAAAAGGATGAAAAGGAAAGAAGAATAAGGGTATTTAAGATAATTTCATGTAATTTCAAGTGGTTATGTACACCTAATAGAAACATTAGGTCCTTATTTGCACATCTTAAAGTCTCAGGTCTTTATGTGCATCCACTTTAAATCACAAGTATGTTATATGTATATTTTAAAATCTCAAGTCTTTTTGTGCACCAACCCTAAACCACAAGTAGCTAGATTATAATTTCCCCAAATTAATAACAAGCATGTATTAATACTTGGTAAACAAAATTATGAGGAATTAATAGTTTTTAACTTTTAAAGAAATAAGAGATCATCTTTGACT